TCTGTGCTCAGTTCAATGGTTGGCTGAAAGCACCCACACCTGTATCAGTAAGGTTCTGGCAGAGTCTCTCAGGAAACATTCATATCAGGCTTCTGTCAGCAAGCACTTATTGGCATCTGCTATAGTGACTGGGTTTGATGTCTGTATATGGGATGAATCCCTAGGTGGGGCAGTCTCTGGATGGCCTTTCCTTCAGTCTCTGCTCTACTCTTTGTCCCTGTATTTCCTCTAGACAGGAGTACTTCTGGGTTAATATTTTCAGAAGGGTGGGTGGCCCTATCCCTCAACTGGAGGCCATGCCTAACCTCTGGATATGGTCTCTACAGGTTCTCTTTCCTCTTTGTTCAGTATTTCAGCTAATGTCATTCCTGTTGGGTCCTCGGAGCCTCTTGCTTTCCTGTTGTCTGGGACTTTCTGTTGGCTATCCCCAATTCCCTATCTCCCATTGCTACACACCTCTGTTGAATTTCCTGACTCCTATAATCTCCCCTGTCTCCATTCACACCTGGTCCTGCCCCCCTTATTTTCCTCTCCCCCTCCTCTCTTCCTTCCAAGTCCCTCTCATCCTCTATGTCCCACTGACTTGCTTTTCTTTGCAGCTTTTTACTTACCACCAGGCTTCTGTGAATCAGGGAGTTAGATTTGGAAAAGTGCTCTCCAGGGAGATGTTAATGATAACTGTCATCTACCATAGCCAATGAGCCTCATGCTCTACTGACTCCATCTCCTAACAGTTTTTCATATCCTTCAAAGCTGCTTTTTCTTCATGGTTATAGACACCCTACTTCAAGTCATGACATTTACCCAAGAAAGTAGCATCTTGTGGCTGGAGAGATGGCTCATCAGTGAAGAGCATGCACTGCTCTTGCAAAAGGTCAAGTTCGGTTCTTAACACACAGAACATGTCAGGTATGTGAAAAACCACAAGCATGTGCACTTACAGGCACCCACTCCCAACTCCTACAAACATGTACATGTAAATACAATCAAAAACAAAAGTGAATCTCAAAAAGAAAGTCATATCTGACTTGCTCATCCTTTTGACTCCTTTCAGCCATTCTACACACCAATGCAAAAGAATCTTTTATAAACAAAAGTCTGAAAAAAAGTTTAGAAAACACAAATCTGATGATGACATTATCTTGCTGAAGGCTTCTTGTCACTTCAGGATAAATTTCAAAGTTGATAACAATAAGAAGGTCCCCAAAATCTCCAATATGCTTTCTGGTATAATACATGTCTTTAACACTCATCTAACAGACTCCATCTCCATTAACTTTCTTTTAATTCTTTGTGTGTTTAAAGTTGTTTCATGCCTCAGAGCCTCTATACATGCACTCTCTTGTTTTCATATTCTTTTGTAGATTAATTTACCCTCTTTTAAAATTATGTATCTCTCTGTCTATTGGTATATGTATATGAATATAGATGCTCTATGAGGAGGGAGACATCAGATCCCTCTGGAGCTGGAGTTACACATGACTGTGAACTATCTCTCCTACCCCTCAATATTATTTTCTATATGCTTTCTATCTCTCTCTCTCTCTCTCTCTCTCTCTCTCTCTCTCTGTCAGGGGCAGCCTTGCTTATACACTGAAGGCCTAAAACCAGCAATAGGCCTAAGTCAACCTGCTAACACAGTCTTGGGTCTCTGTGGAAAAACACTGAAACAGATAGCTATAAGATATTGTAAACTATCAGGAGCAGCCCTGCTTATATACTGAAGGTCTAAAATCAGCAATAGGCTTGACATATATGCCTGCTAGCACCAAATCTTGGATCTCTGTGGAAAACACAGATAGCTGGGAGTTACAGTAAACAGGCGGCTTTGGTGGAAGGCTGCCAAGCCTGGCTAGTCAGAAGGCCTTATAGATAGATAACCTTGGAGGATAGTACCAACTTAGATAAAGACAAGTGAATCATAGGCGGAGTCATAGTGGTCTGTCCCCTGAACCTTCACCCAGCTGACACTCTGTTCTGGAAGATATCTGTACTCCCCCTGAACACCCACACACCTGCGTCATCCCCTTCCCCACATCCTGCCTTTTTGTGTATATAACCTGTGTGTGCAAAAGTAAAAATTACGATTTGATCAGAATATAGACAGGTCGTCACTTCCTTGCTTCTTTGTCTGCTTCCCTCCCCCCCCTTTCACGTGACCTCCCCGGACCCCTGTTTAATGTCCTGCTGGTAAGGACAGTAAACAGGCAGCTTTGGTGGAAATTTACCAGCCTGGATAAGAACAAGTAGTCATGGGTCTTGTGGATAGTCATAGACCTTGGGTAGCCTTGGTGGATAGTACCAACTTAGATAAGGACAAATAAATCATAGGCAGAGTCATAGTGACCTGTCCCCTAAACCTTCACCCAGCCGATACCCTGTTCTGGAAAATATCTGTATTCCCCCGAACACCTATGGTCCTGCATCATCCCTTTCCCCACATCTTGCCTTTTTGTGTATATAACCCCTGTGTGAAAAAGTAAAAATGACAATTTGATCAGACTATAGACAAATCGTGGTTCTTTGTGTTCACCTGTTTCCCCCATCCTCTCTTTCAGGTGACCTTCCCAGTCTCTCTCTCTCTCTCTCTCTCTCTCTCTCTCTCTCTCTCTCTCACTACATTATAGCAGTTTTCATATTAATGCTCCCTTTTTCTATCTAAATTAGGAATCCCTTCCTGAGATGATGGATGCTTTCCTAGAAAACCTTGCAAGGAAGCGAAAAGAAAGCACATGGTTAGGTATCTAAACAGGACCAATAGAGAAAAAAGAAGGACCCAAGGGTCTTATAAAATATTCAAGCCAGCATTCTTTTATTGGACTCCAAGCTATAGGTCCTTTCCAATCCTGAAGGAACACAGTAGTTACCTTTGATTTTCTCACACGGCTTGATCTTGTATTTCCAGAAGTTCAGTTCTTTGTCCAAGTAAATGACCTTGTAAATCCCCAAGACAACTGTCAGCAGCCATACTACACGAATCTTCCTTTTCCTCTCATTGACTCAGTCCCATGAAGGAAAGCAGCTGGTCTACATATTTTGTTGCATGTCCCTAGGTATTAGAACAATTCTGCCTGCATAATAGATGTTCATTAAGCATGTATGGAGGCACAGATCAAATCTGGCACAACCTAAATCAAGAAGTAGGATCTGAAAAAAGTTTTGGTGTTCACTACAAAATTGTTATGGAGTATAGGTAGTTACAGTAAGTGGCAGACTAGTTATGGTGCACATCTTGAATTCACTAGGGCAAGAATAGTATTGTCAGGACAGTGACTATTGGGCTGGCCCAGATCTGTGGCCCAAGATGGAGTCACCTAAGACACTAAGATATGGGGCCCAGTACCTTCAGAGAAATGGAAACGGATTATTCCACACTTGTCAGAAGTCTGCCGACCCCTAGACTCAGTAGAACAGCTTGACCACAGCTTCCTGCTGTTTAACTGGAAGAATGACCCTTGACTCCATAAAATGCTGCTTACCAGAAGTCCTTTTTGCTTGTTAAAGTTCATTTTTCCTTCTTAATGCTCTCCCACTACACTCCCTCCAATTAAGCAACCTATAAAAATCCATACTCCCCTTTGTCAGGGCTGCTTTCCTTTCTCTTGTAGACAGCCTGACAGGCTGTCCCCTGAATAAAGTTTTGCTTTTTGAAATTCATAGTGTGGTTCTCTCAGTGAGTCACATAGTGTCCAGACCACTGGAAGTACACTAAGGACTTCCAACTTCCTTTATCTTTTCAAACCTCCACTCTAGTAAAGCCAGATGCTTCGTGTTGCCACAAGGAGGAATTTCATGGTGAGCCAGAATGAAGCAAAGTTGAAGTTTATATTAAAAACTTTAAAAATTGCATTACATTGTGTGTGTGTGTGTGTGTGTGTGTGTGTGTGCGCGCGCGCGTGTCCATGTGTGGAGGTCAGAAGACACCTTTTTGGAATCAATTCTTTCCTTTTGCTATGTGGGTTCCAAGAATGGAACTAGATCATCTGGCTGGACAGCAAGCATCTTTGCCCACTGATCCATCTCATTAGCCCTTAAAAGATACTTTAAACCAATTTTAAAACAGGTTACTATAAAGAGAGGTACCTCTTTTACCTTGGAAAGAAAGTCAGATATACCTTAGATCATATGACTTCTCAAAGAGATTAAGTGTGTACATTAGCTGTATATGCTAGCGTTGGTGGCTTCTGACTTTACATCTCAAATGGTTATTAAGAAATGTTTATCACTGAATAAATGAAAGGGGTGGTTCCCTATATACACCACGTAGTATTTCAACTAATGAGGTAAAATGCAAGATCTCTCGGACTGCAGAGGAGGTTAAGATGCACTTACTGTTAACAAAGATTTAATTTTGTTTGCTATACTCTCAAGAAGTATCTGGGAAATGAGTAAGGCCAAACTTGATAATATAACTTCAATGTTTCTTGTCTTTATGTATTTCTTCATTATTGTAGCAATTGTGGAATACAATCCTTGAAATAAACTTGGGAAATTGAGTACTTGATGTGTCTGCCTTCAAGATATTATATGTTGCAGTTGCTAACTAACTACTAATCTATAATAGGGAATGAAGCCAAATTTTCAAAGCATAAATACCAGTTATAGTTCTTACTAATTCATTCCAATGGCATCTACATTTCCTCCTTTCAAGAGCAGATTAAGGATATTTGCATTCTCCAATACTGGAGTTACTAAAGCCTTCCCACCCATCACAGCCTAAAGAGATCTTTAGAGCTTATCACTGAGACACATAGTGTGATAACTGCTCAGGGTAGACTCTTTGCCATTATTAACCCTGTATCTGAATGTGTCATTTTCTAGCCCTTTTAGACCTCATTAAAAGTAATCTTATTTCCAAATCAGTCATGGTCAATCTTCAGCCAAGATGGGATTAACTTTGGCATCTATCTGTTGGGTAAACTTTAACAAACTTTTCTGTGTCAAGTCCTGTAATGGGCATGTCATCAAAGCATGGAAGTCCACAAGATAACAGTATCACTGTTGCATAACATCAAAACATTTTATTAGTCTTGTTTCTTTTCAATCTTTTCCCACAGTAAGCCAGACTTTCTCAGGCATTTCTGCCATCTATTAAAAAAAACAAAGGGAAAACATTCACTCCAGAATTTATTTTTCTCTTAGGTTATAGTCACTATTTGCCCTGTTGGGACAAAGAGCTTTGTCCTTGTCAGGAAACTCAAGTAGGGACATCCAAATCTGAGAAATGAATTTGACATGCTAGATTGGAGGGTTTACTCTCAGCTGAGGCCACAGAAGTATCTTAAGTGTAAGTAGAGGCTCTATTAAAGTCATTATGGCATAGTACTCAGGGGTCAGACTGACTCAGAGACCCAGGGAAGAGAATAGAAAGAAACCCCTTAGTTGTAACTGATATATAGTAGTATACCATAGAACATAGCTTGCCATAGAATACCCTACACACCCTGGGCTATGGAACCAGAGTCTGTGACCACAGATTTTGAAATAACAAGTGATCTTTCCAGAATCAAACTTAGAAAAAAGAGTGCAAAGGTAATGAGCCATTTTGTTGATTTTGATTTTCTTCAAAATACAATTTGGTGACCAGATAGAGCTTTAAGTGTGACACGAAATAGGTAATAAACATCAATTTTGTCTACCATCATTTTTTGAAGTTTCAGGAAAAATAAACAGAGCCTTTTATCTATTTTCTTTAAAAATGCCATGTGTTTAGGTAAATAAAATGAGTCACCCTGACACTGGATGACTTCACACTTATCATACAGGAGAGAAGAGAGAGCTCAGAGTCTGCAAATCATTCTTTCTCAGGACTTCCTTTCCTCTGTAGCATCCATGAACCATCTAGGTAGACACATCACACCAAGAAGGGCTAAACTTGGTTCAGAGCCATCATGTAACGGAAAGAATAGAAGAATGAGCTGACCATGATCTTGGGACTGGTGTGTATCACAGTGTTTTAGAGTTTATATCCCTTCTCTGGGTTCATTGCCCTGAAAACAACAGATTCATTACATATGTGAGGGTAGATAGTTAAGAGATGAACAGAGCCACAACTCTAGCTCTTTTCTCTGACTTTAGTCAGATACTACTTAGAACATGTGTTTGAATGTATATAAAAGAGTTTGGGTAAACAGTTCAGGAAACAGGTCCCAGGAAAATTTTATCAGAGGTGACTATTTTTTCTAAAAGAAGACTACTTGTTTATTGAAAACTTGGAAATTTCAGGGCAGTTTGAAGACTAAGGTATCACCCTAGGAATCCAGAAAATACATTTGATTTGAATATTTTACTAAATGAAGTAATTCTTTCACCTTGTTTTAACACATATGCATGCATATTTATGTATAGTGACTCCTTTCCTCCCTGCTCCCGTATGCTTACTCTCTGAATGACCTTTCAGTCGTACTCCGATTTAATGGTTCGTTTAATCACTCCTCACATGAACTGAGAAGCACAAACACTCCGTGGTTCTTCAAACACTGCTGAGTGAAATGAAAAACAAAGCACATGAGCCAGAATACATTTTGTGATAACTTTTTTTTCTTCTCTTTAGAAAAAAAAATATGTACAAAAAAAGCTAAGAAGAGCTGACATGGGTGAGAAACATTTTGATAGATACAGAGAGAGAACTCCTTCTCCCTAAGGAGGGACACATTAACACCATGCTAGAAAAAATGGGATGCAGTTAAAATCTAAGAACAGTTAGAAGCCCCATAGTGAGGCCATTGCTCTGGGCCTCTATGTGCAGATGTTTTGATAGCCTTTCTGTAAAATAATACTGTGCAAACTGTAAAATATTCTTTTTCATAAAAAGTCCATACAATATGATATACAAAACTGTTGAGTTGACAGGAATGGCTGGTGCTAGCTGCTCTCTTGGATAGAAGGCTACAGTGTCACCTGCCCAAGGTCAGAATTCCAGACCAACCTTGTGCACTGTAGGGTGTCGAGGCCATTATCTAAGAAAGCATCGTATAACTAAAGCCCACTCCCCCCAAATATAGGCTTCTATGCCAATAGTTAGGCAACTAGGACTCTTCACTAGTATGCCCCTGTCACTTTAACTTGAAATTCAGTTGACTATTAACAGAACAGAACACAAAGTTCTCTTCCAATATTTTTCTTCCACAATTGATTTTAATATGTAACCACCATGGTCCTTCCTGTAACTCAAAAGTTTAACTTTCATTAAAATTCAAAACTTCTGGAGGAGGCAGCAACTGTGGTAATAAAATGTGGTTTAAAGTGTGTCATTTGCTTTATTTGTGTCTATAAAACTGAGAAAATTTGTGTACAAATATCACAAAACAACATCAACCATTGAATAAATGTGATTCTTCAATGCACACTTGAACAAGAGGAAAATTTTGTTGGTTTTAAAAATCTGGCATAAATATATTAAAGCTGACAAAAAAAAAAAGATCAGGGCAAGCTACATCACTTCTTCATACAAAAAATGTACAAAACATTAGCATCTAACTAGATAAATGTAATACTTGTCTTCACAGTTTGAGTAACTGTGTATTTTGAAGTATTGAACTGGGAGGTTGCTGAAAACAAAAACAAAAACAAAAACAAACAAACCCCAAACAGCTACACGTCTTCATTCATCTCAGGTGACTTCCGTCATGGAGGCTGAGTGATTCTGTAGAGCAAGGAATATGTACAATCTCAGAGCTGGGATGAGGGACATCGACATACTATCATCCATTCCTGAAATGTCTTCCAGATCAAAGCTGACTGATCTCTCTCTCTCTCTCTCTCTCTCTCTCTCTCTCTCTCTCAATTTAATATTTTAAACTTTTCATATAGTGTATTTTGATTGAATTTTCCCCTTCCCCCAAATTCTTCCCAGATCCTCCTCCTCCCCATCCCCTCACCTCAACTTCAGATCCCCTCTTAAACAAATAACAACACCCCCAAACAAAACCCACCAAACCATGCTTTCCCCTTCGTGTACTCTTCCAGGGCCCTTCAACTCCTATTACCTCTTCCAATTGAAGTAGAATCACGTCTTCATGTAAACTTTTCCCTACCTTTAACATATGTATTTAAACCAGAATTTCAAAGTGATAGCTATATACCATACCTTTGAAATGTTTTAAATACTGACTACTGACTAAGCTTTTCTGTATAACTTGCTCTTTGAGTTATGATTTCTGTGGGACCAAAATTATTATTTTCCAGTGGATAAAGTGGTTTTCATTTGGTTTTAATTAATTTATAGGAACGTGGTCTACATAATTCAGAGCCATTAAAATGTCTTTTTTCCATGTGTGTGTCTCTCTATGTGTGTCCCTGTGGACATGTATTGTCACCATATGGATGTGAAGTCAAAAGGACAATTTGTAGGAGATGGTTTCTTTCTTCTACCATGTGGGTCCCAGGAACTCAGTTCATCAGGTACTTGGTAACAAGTACTTTTACCTCCTAAGTCATCTCTCTGGTCCTAAAATTTCTTAAGACTTACTTCTTGATCTTGCACATGACTATTTTATTTATTTGTATAAAAATATCATATGTGTTTTGGAGAAGATTTTATATATATTGTAAGTAAATATTATTATACATCTATATTTCTACTGTATTCTGTTGCTTACTTATTACTGAAATGTGTTGTAAATACTCTGCTTCAGAGGAGTGTACTTTTCCTTGTAATTCTGTTATATTTTGTTTACAAAAACTCGCTAATGTGATCTTAAAAGTCTCATCATTTGTTTAAGCTTAAAATCCTAAACTAGGGGCCCATGGAACTGGTAAATACTTCAGGAAAGTGTGATTTTCATCATATTAATTTTTGTTTATTTTGGAACACAGAGACACATGCTTAGGACATCAGCTGTACATTGTATAAAAGATTTATTTTCTTTTTATGTATACATATTTTTGTGTGTATGTGTTTATCAGGAGGCCTGAAGAGGGCGTGGGGTTCCTTGGAGCTGCAGCTTTTAAGAATATGCAGCAAGTACAGCAGCCATTGCACTGTATTCCCAGTTTATAAGTCCATAATCAGCCTAGGATATTGTGAGCTGTTTGATTTGGGTTCTGCGAATAGAACTCTGGTCCTCTGTAAGAACAGCAAGTGTTCCTGCTGAGGTGCCTCTCTAAACTCTCAGCTACATATTTTAAAAGATGAGGATTTGATGTTTTTCAAGTTGTGCTAATTGAGCTTTGATAGATTGTTTCCCCAAGATGAAAAGATTGTTTTGTATAATTTCACGTTAATTAATTGATCAATTACTTTTACTCAGAGTTGAACCTAGGACCTCATTTAGCCACACAAGTGTCCTGTTACTGAACCAAGCCCAGAATTTTTCTTAAAATTTTTATTTTGATTTTTTTATGTGCCTGGGTGTTTTGCCTGGATGTATGCATGGTACACTAAATGTGTGTAGTGCCTAAAGAGATGAGAAGAATGTGTTGGACCCTGTGGAACTAGAGTTGCAAGTGATTATAGGCCACTATGTGGGTGCTGGGAACCAAACTTGGATCCTCTGCAAGAACAGGAAGGGCTCTTAACCAGGGAGCTATCTTTCCTGTCCTGATTTTACTTTGTAATATACTTTCTTGTTTTTGTCAACACTTGGGTTTATATAATACTATGTAATATTAAGTAGTGATGATGAAATCAATCAGTATCCTAAGATAGGTAGGTGGCTTTGACATGAGTCCTTTAATTCTGTTTTGTTTTATTTTTCTATTTATAATATGAAGTTTGTATTAGTACTAATTCAGAATCAAAGGTGCATCAGAATTCTCTGGGAATATTTTTCAACTTGTTTCCACTGTGCATTGCTGAACTAAAATCTTTTGGGACAGGGGTCCAGGTATCTGTAGTCTTTTTAGCAACTAGTTGTTCTTGTTCTTTTTATTTTTGTTCTTGGTGTCTTCTCTTGTTCTTCTTATAGTAGTATCTGTTGTTGTTCTTGTTCTTCTTATTCTTTTTGTTGTTCTTGTTCTTCTTGTTCTTGTTGTTCTTGGTGTCTGCTCTTGTTCTTCTTATAGTAGTATCTGTTGTTGTTCTTGTTCCTCTTTTTGTTGTTCTTCTTGTTTTTGTTGTTCTTGTCCTTGTTGTTCTTGTTGTTGTTCTTTTTCTTGTTGTTCTTGTTGCTCTTGTTCTTGTTATCCCTCTTCTTCTCCCTCTTCTTCTCCTTCTTCTCCTTCTCCTCTTCTTCTCCTTCTTCTCCTTCTCCTTCCTCTTCTTCTTCTTCTTCTTCTTCTTCTTCTTTCTTCTTCCTCTTCCTCTTCCTCTCCCTCTCCCCCTCTCCCTCCTCCTCCTCCTCCTCCTCCTCCTCCTCCTCCTCCTCCTTCTTCTTCTTCTTCTTGTATGTTTTATTATATTTTGTCCTCATGAGCAGAAAGCATCCATCCACACAGAGGAAATCAGTTGTTTCATTTCTAACTTATTTCTTTGTTAGAGCGAATATGAGCATTCGATTGTGGAACATGGTCAGCTGAAAGATAGTCTTTTGGGAATCATTTAGTCACTCTATAGGCCCATACAATGATGGCTGGAAAACTCTCTCTTCAGTTTGAATTTTCTACAGTAATTTACTTTTTAGTTCCTTTGTACCCTGTCTTAATCATCAGTATCAGCAGGAATCACAGAATGCAAATGTCAAACATGAGTTAATATTTTAAGGAGGAGGGCTCTGTGAGGTAAAGGGAAAAGAATGTTCCAGGAGGAAAGAAAGGAGATGCCTGGCTCCTGGCCATAGGAAGCTATTCTCCTGAGAATCTGAATGGCAGGTAGATTTCATGTGTGCAAGTATGTGTTCCAAAGGGCAGTTCTGGTGTCTAGAATCTCCATAGTTCCTCCATAGGAAGATGGTTTCATTCTCTCAACCACAAAGCAGCAGCTTCTACTGTATAGTCTAGTCCCAGGTGTTGCATGGGAGGCTCTTATTTAGAGAGAACATGCCGGACACTTATTAGAAGAATAGTTTAGGTTGCTGCAGCACATTTTCATACTCAAGTCTGAGAGTGGTAAATCTTTAAAAAGGAAGTGTGTTTGAATGCAATAAGAGGCTGTTTGCTATTGTAGGACACACAGAGTTTGATGGGTCTGTGTTTAATTTTGATTAAACAATCTTGGGAATGGTACTTAAGCATATCTTGCTTTCCAAAATTGGGTAATGTCAGTTGTAGGAGTACTGTGAAAGTGAGAGAAAAGGACTCTCAATGATTGCCACTTCTCTTTCTTGAACAATGAGTAAAGGGTATTATCTTCCTATCTTTTTCAAAATGTTTTCTGGTAAAATCAATGCTTGCCTTCCTCAATGATCCACCATTGGTTTGGTCTATGCCACATGGCCAGTACTTCCCATAGCTTCTTGTAACTCTGTTCTGACTCACCTGTAGAAGTTCTGCTCATTGATTCTCTCAAGAGTGTATTTGTTAAAGAAATAGTGATATCAGATAGTGTCTCTGGTCTGACTTGAGGTTGATTGGTTTTTGGCTGAAGGATCCTCTTGAGAATTTGGCTCTGGCTTGCTTCCATCCAGCCAGTATTTGTGTTACACTTAGCAAATGTCAGGAAACACGTCACGTAGGAATAGATCACAGAACCCAGATCCTTAAAGGTTCTCAGTTCCATGGGGAGCATAAATAAGGGGGAACACTATCCAATTATAAGGGGCAATCACATGATGGACCTTCTGCCCAAGCTTGATATTCATGAGGCCTCAGATTTAGAAAAGGGGAGCACATACGTAGACACATAGATAGCATCAAGCTTGGAAGAAGTTCAGTTGTAGTGCTCAATGAAATTATTGATAATCTTGTTGCTATTCTTGGTATAGATATTCAAGCATCCTTCATCTCTATGAGAAAGAGCGATACCTGAAAGTGTTTGGTCCTTCACTTTTCAATATGAAACCTTTAGAGTATATCCTTGAAATCTGTTGTCCTCGTCAACTACAAATAGTCTTGGAGAAGGAAAAAGCCACAGACATAAGCTAAGGCCTGACTGATGTGGGCAGATGAAAGACATCATTCTAAGATGAGGAATATTCAGGGGTGCTAAGTACACATAGACTGATAATGTCTGTGAAACTAAGCAAGTATTTCTGTATAAATGTATTATTTTTCTTTTGTGTGTATGAGTGTTTGTCTGCTTGTTGATATGTGGAACAAGTGCATGTCTGGTGTCTGTGGAGGTCTGAAGAGAGTATTGGGTATGTTTTCCATATGCTATTTCTAATTAAATTATTAAAGATGGGAAATATGGAAAAAGAAGTTGAGTATGCTTGGTGCTGGGTTTAATGATAAAACTACATCGTTTCTCACAATGGCAAGCATTTTATTACTTTCTCCCTTGGTTCACTAATGAAGCAAAACTTCATTAAAGTTCAAAAGATATAGAAGAGCTTATGACAGTAAATCTCTAAATAGTGAGAAACATTTAATAATCCCAGCAGGAAGTGTAGTGCTATACTTTATACTTTGATATGAGCAGAATATTACAGAAAATATTTCCTTTTGTAGGATTCCAGAGGCCTTCCAAAAAGACAGGTGCTTGAATGAAAGTCATGGCTTCTTAAAAGGGGGCCATTCTCTTGTTCACTTTAATTGTATTTACTCATCTTCACTTTCCCACCTTCTAGCTGGGTGGGGAGGGTGAGTAGTTCAACAGTGCTGATTTCAATATTTCGTTCTTATCAGAGAGATGGGCATTGATAAATGTCCATTCTATATGATGGTTATTCAAATAGGAATATCTTTTGATACTCCTGGAACAATTCTAGGCAAATGTTTCAAGTGTCATATGTCTAGGCCTCTTTAACAGCATTTTCTGTGACTTTTCTTGTCTTCTCAGAGTAAGCATTTCTCTTAACTTGTATTCCTATGGTGAACCTCATTTAGCACAGCACATTGTGACAGCTTTATTTCCACTGTCCCCAACCATCAGTGTTCTGCAGAGCTAAGGTTGTGTCTAATTATTGTTTTGACCTCATGCATGGATGAAGAGCTTGTGGTAGAACTCCTAATCAGAAGTTGCATTGGATTTATGACCATTGTCAGACCAGATTCTGTACCTCTAGTTTGAGTAACTAGTCACTAGATAGAACAAAATTTTTGTCCTTTCAAACACAGTTGCCCTTCCATTATCCATAGTTTCTACAACCATGCATTTGTGCAATCATAGGTGGAAAGTATTTAGGGGAATAAACACAGTTGCCCTTCCATTATTCATGGGTTCTGCAGCCAAGCATTTATAAATCATGGCTGAGAAGTATCTAGGATACTGGATGTGTACAACATTGTTTCCTTTCTAGATTCCCTCAACAGTATTGTTTAACAACTATTTTCTTAGTGTTTGCATTGTCTTAGGCATTGCAAGTAAAATGGTGATAAACATATATGTGAATTTCTGTGTAAACTTCATACAAATATTATATTGTACTACATTAGGAACTTGAGAACATTGAGCTTTTGTATTCCCTGGACGTTTGAATTCCCCCTTTCTGCCCCAAATGACACCAAGAGAAATGGAATTGCACAAAAAAAAACTTGATTGTTAGTCAAACTGGCTTCCCATAGGAATAGTTCAAATTTCCTGAGTGTTGATTGTACATCAGAGAACAGAGTACCCTAAAGCTGCTTGGGTTTAATTTGAACAACACTTAGCACGTCCTCAGGAATAAGTAAGCAACCTGCAAATGTCATGAGTTTGCCTGCTAAAGTGACTTTACTATACCTGTGCACTTAAGGTTTCCAGTGGGCTCTCTATCCTTGGGAAAGCCATCAAAGGAACTCCACGGGGATCCTCAGGTTTGGGTTTGGAAAGAGAGCCTTGAGTTCCTTTAAAGTTATGGACCACACACATTCCCTGCAGGATGAGGAGGAAGAAAGATTGGGTCAAACTCCAGCAGGCAGCCTCTGGTCATCCCTGAGAGTGACAGACCACTGTCCTTGAATATCATCATCAAGGTAGCATATTTCCTTGGAATTATAGGAAATCAAGACTAAGAGAGGCCTGGACTGGAGGCTGAGCATACTGCAGGTATTGTGAGGGAAATTCATCCAGTGGCTCAGGATAGCCCACAGGGCTTATCTCTTCAGCTGTCAAATGGAAGTGGGAAAACTTACCTTATAGATTTATGACAGTGTGACAAATGTAAGTCCCCTTGTAATCACACCAAACAAGAGCTGAAGGCTGCTGTGTGTCTGGCAGTGTCCTGCAGTTGTGCCTCATTTTGGTTAATCTAGCCAACAATTTCCAATGGTAAAAAGTGAGATGCTATTAGTCTCTTCAGCTTGGACAGGGGAAGTTTAAATTCCTCAAAATCTCAACACCATACTATTTTTTTCTCTCTTAAAGTGCCAAACACAACAAGTACTCAGCCCATATTGGCTGATGTTTAATGTCTGCTAAAAATGATCATAATCAAAATGTCTTTATTGTTTACTTGGCTTAAACAATTACAATAAATGTTTGTCTACTTTCCTTTTATTATTTTCTACTGGAGTCATTGTTTCTGCCCATTATGCATTTCTCTGCCTCTTCCCATAATTTCTGTTGTTATTCTTCATCTTTGTTTCTATGTCTAGTGTTGAGACTTTCAACTAATTTTTCAAACCATACAGAACATTTACATTTTTTTTAACTAGGCTCATTTCCACTTTACACTATAGCTCTGATTAAACTTTGGCTACTTATTGAAATGGTAGAGGGGATGGTGTTTGAGCCTTGGAGTTGAGGTTCATAGTGATTATATTTTTTGAGGCTCAATTTACTGGACAGTAAAATGAAGATTAAAATATTGCTAGAGGTACCCTAGGAACTCAGAATTGGAGATATTTGTATTGAAGGGCATACACTCATTGATCAGTCCACATTTCCATTCCT